ATGTGTTACAATTATCTAAATCAAGGATTCAACCTTCTTGTATGATACTTGTCTAAATCAGGGATTCAACTTTCATGTATTTTTATATACAAATTTGCTTTTTTATAGATATTTTTTATTCGACAACGAGCCATGCTATATTTATTAATGAGCAATTGGGAACTGCATTCTGTATGCAGTAATGACTGCATAAGAATAAATTTTAACTCAAATCATCTTTCTTGTATATTTCCGTAAATACGAATTTAACATAATTATATGTCCCGCATATATCCATTTTATGCAAACATTTCGTAGAAGTTCCTTCTACAGGAACAAACTTTTCCGGCAATGTACATTTATGTACATTTTCATCGTAGAAACAAGATATGTCGCGAATTTACAGACGACTAGTGGCAGTGTTCTGTAACGTCTACAATGACAGATTTCTTCCACCCAAATAAAAAATAACCGATCGCTGCACCGAACACTACCGCGAAGCATAACCAGACATTGTAAGTCATGAAGATCAGCATAAGGAAATATGACAACACAATTTGCACAATGTGTAACAGCGTCTGAAACGAGTGCATCCATGATAACATTGTGGGCCTGCACAAATTCATACGAAATTGATTATTTTTTTTATCATAACGAGGAAATATTTTTATATATATGTAACTGAATTATCATGCTCGGCAATAATATGTACAATTCGAATTGAATGAAACTTAATACACAATTCGTTAGGGAGCGAACAATATACGAAAGAAGTGTTAGAAAAGCTTTGAAAGAAATACATAATGAAGAAAACTTGAAATCAACTTTAAAACGGAACGACAGAAAACAGATAAAAAAATTCCCGATTTACTTACGGTTGCTTGTGAATTACTTCTCCGACCATACTAAAAAAAAAATATAATTAAATCGTATGGGAAATAACGATTCTTGAAATACGTAAATTAATTACGAATATCTAAACTTGAAACTACTCTAAATCCTCTATCTATATAACACTTTATATTTATTTATTATTGCGAAACTCACTGTACGACTCTGTTATCTTCGGCTACGACATTTTTCTCTTGAGACATTTTCACGCTTCTGTATTGAAGAGAATTGTACATTTTCCAAAACAGGTATTCCCTGTAATACTTCAAGCCCTCATAAAAAGCTGCCATGATCATGATTCCGATCATAGACCCTATCAGGCCGCCGATCGACGAAATTTTCCACGATTCGAATAATACTTTCTCGCAATATCCTCCATGGAACGTCATCTAATGAAAATACCATTAGTTTGTATGATTGTCTAAACGACTGCATTCGCGAATGATACGTACCGACATACCCATGTGGTGCATCCCCATATCGGCGCATGCATTCGCAGTTGAACTATCAGAATGACCTGTATGATCCATACTACCATGATCCATAGTATGGGGCATGCTCGTGTCTATGTTTGGATGATTCACAGGATTATGTACCATGTGATCGTGACCTGCGTGCCCAGATGTGTTCATATTCATATGTGCCATATGATCGTGGGACATCTGCAAAAAAATCAAGGTATAATTTTTTTAAATTCGCAAGAAATCTCCCGATCGCACGTCGATAACTTTTGAAATCGCGAAAGTTATATTTCCTAATACGGATGCTTTAAATATTAAAAATAGTAATGATCAAAATCAAACGTAGAATTGTCGTGGTTTTCACGTCGCTACGTGATCATTACTTTCCCCAGTATTATGAAAAAATTCTCAGGAAGAACAATACTGTTTCTTATTGTTAATTAAGATCGATAGTACTTGTACTGTGTACAATTGGATACAAATACAATAACTGGAACATTGACGCAATTACGAGATATATACATACCTACATAATACTATAATATAATGAAAACAAGTATATCGAATTGTCAACAATAGGCGAACTGACTCACAAGTGAAATAAAATTCTACGAGGAAAGAATGACTACCTGTTGCACAAACCGCTTTAACTTCCCTGCGAGAGTATTTATTGCATAAGTACATGCGTTGCAATCGATACTCACAGGAAGCTAAATCTGATATTTGAAGTGATCGAACTATAATCGTATGTATAATGACAAGAAAATCAACGCTTCCAGTAGTTGAAATCAAATACACTTCGATAGAATTGTTCAACTCTTTTTTTTTTTTTTTTTTTTTACCAAGAATATGTTTCACATAATCGGAAGAAATTGGAAAAGATTTACAAATAAACAATTGTCAGAGGATCACTAAGCCTTTTGATTGATCAATGACAATCATTATTTAATACAATCTTGTAATCTTTGTAAAATCGTCCGTTCTCCGTCTGCCAAGCTATCCGTGAGTGAGTTTAGGACAGTACAGTAAAAGGAACGAGTTCATGACTGGCTACGTAAAGAAAGAAACAGTATAAAAACACGAGCTGGCGAACTTTCTAAAGCGGTGTTCTTAAAGATACACAATGGACCGAAGTGAAACTATTAACATTCCGTTCTACGCGGCTGAGAACTGTGAGGATAGAATTTACCGTAACAGCCGAAACAATTCTCCTTTCGGAATTGTAGAGGAATAACACATAGAGAACAGATTCATGAATTTGTGAATTCTTATTATAAATTTAATACTTATAATCGACGAATCTTTGTATGAAGCAAAAAAAAATTTGTAGTCGCAAGTGTGACTAAGCTAGATAATGAACAGCTATAACTGCACTAAACAGTTTATCTGTGTATGCTAAGCAAACCCATTAACGTTTTGAAACGCGATACTCGAATACGCGATGAAGAGAAGCAAAGTTCTTACTCAATAAGAAAAGTGATATGCGTATTTTTATTGAATCACGAATATTATACATTGGATTTAAGACTGTGTCAGTGTACACGTTTTCCAAGTAAATGCATTTCCTTTCCTTTCTCGTTTCGCGTAAGGAAACGCATCTACTATTGAGATATCGACGCGATCAAATTTCATCAATTTTTCGTTTACGTAATTTTAGGGACAAAGCAAACATTGTTCTAGTTCGAATATAATTCAGAAGATAATTTAAGAAGAGAAAGAGACAACTATGGTTCGCACGACGTATAATTAATGTTAATTAATCTTATATAAGTAATACGTAATACATTCCTTTGCACATATTCCTTCTCGTTATCTTTGCACATTAGCCATTTCATTATTTTATCAATTGATGAAGAATAGCGTTACTTATCTGTCCCTAAACAATACACAACGTATCGATATTTATGTAAACATAAATACTGTGAAAATTGTCACTCGCTACGTGTATTACGGTGTGTCGTACGCTGCAATAAAATGTTATTTTTTACGTGCTTTACATTTAGTATGTATCAGGTGCATTATGCCTCGTATGTATTTCAATATTCATGAAGGGGCTAAATTACAGGCCAATCTATTGTAGTTATTTCTATCGTCCGCCGGTGATAGGAAAAAATCCGGAAATTACCCTATGGAGAGTAATTTTGCCAGTCAGATCGTATTGAACGTGATTCCCCTTTATTAGCAAGGGGGATTCTATGATAAAGTGATTAAGTGACCATCGTTTGCGGCCAACAATTTCACCGCGAAAACCACAAGTGACTGTGAGAGATTAACACATTAACGTAAATACGAGAAACGGTTGTTGAAAAACAGGAAATGTAACAGGAAAGTTGAGCAGGAAATAATTTCTTGTCAACTTCGATAAGATTTAAAAATAATTAAAAATAGTTAGATTAGAGAAATTAAGTCGTTCGTCAAGAAAATAATTTTACGTCCTACGTCAATGCCTTGCCCAGCTATTTGGTACGATGCCCCGTTGGAATTCTTTTATTAAAATACCAAGATTCTTTGAGAGAGACATGCTTCATAATCTTCGCGGAAGGTAACGTTTCGATTATCGATTACCACCACAGTAAAGCTCAACGATGCGGGGATCAATTAAAAGTTTGAAACAAGAGATTTCTAATAATACCGAACACCGGAAAATGTTATACTTTTAAACATGCTATGTGAATTTGAATATTCCGTTTATTCTATCAGAGTACGGTATAACTAATCTAAAAGAACAAGCCAATATTGGTTTCAATTGAATCGATGACAATTGCGATTAACTAACGCACGAACTTGCTTTGACGCAGAGATTTTCAGAGAGCGAAATAGGTACTCTGCTGCAGTATCGAACGTTGAACTATTAACCACTTTCTATCTGGTGAAAAGAAATAGTGCTGTTCGTACAGTAAATTAAACGCGAACAGTATACACGCGATGCTAAGAACGTTCTCTTCTGGATAAGAATTTCATGAGCATTCACTTTTTATCAGTCGAACTATCACATCGCTTACTCGTAACATATGTCACTTATATAAATTCTAAGAAAAAGAAGTAGAGAAGTCCGTTTATGTTTTAGCTGAGAAAACTAGCGTTAGAAAAATGAACGTACTATCAGCAGAGTTTAAAGAGTATTATGATTGATTACATGATTCCTGCGATATAGTACCGTGAAAATAGCTGTCAATCTAGGTCATTAATTTATATCGGATTGAAGTACTTTTATTATATTGAAATAAAAATGTATGTTTAAACTGTCAAAAGAATCGCGATATTCTACGTTAATTACATCAGACTGACCTCTTTTGACACCTGAAAACCACAAACAATTCTTAAACTTACCTTTGTTAAATACGTAAGGTTATGTCACGCAGAATGCCTCTTCTCTTAAGGATATGTCAATGTAATGAAAATGGAATAAACAGACGGATTTGCAGATTTCTCTGCGTACACTCTTGACCAGTCTCTTAGAGATCCATTAATAAACTGTTCACACTTTCACGATTTCCTCCATCGCCGTAGATGAAACATAACGAAGACTCGACTTCGCGGGTAAACCATGTGACATTAGAATCAGTATTGTACGATTTGCGAAATTTCGACCGTAGCGCCGTGCGTTGAAGAACAGTGAACTTAGGTGTCACTCGCAGAGCATCGAGGAGAGAGAGAAAGGGAGAGTATAAGCACCATTTTATTACGGCAGATGACGCGACAAGTACTCTTTTTAAAATCTCAAGACCCTTCATGTGATAAAAAATAATTGAGATCGAATGTCAAAACAGACTTGTGTATATAGATCACTGTGCTGAGTCTCCGAGATCACGAATAAATTTAGTACTCTGTTTGTCGTGTGACGGAAAACCTTGTTCCTTAAAACGTTAAACGCCATTTAAACTTCAAACGATAAGCGCTAAGATATGAACATTACATCTGCGCGTGCGTGAATGATTTGTGTATTCTGAACAATTTGACAAGAGGATACTTTCGTTGAATAGTGAGAGTAATTTTACGTTTTAAAATGTCAATTCTACCACTGTGGCCGAACTTGCAGCCCAGGGCAACGGATCCTCTATGGTTCAATGCCGACAGACCTTGCGACGACGAGAGCGAGGTAGCTGCACTCGAAACGGAACATCAAGCATGGGTAAATGTACAATACAAGTTCAATAAGCTTCCTCTTATCGATATGAGATTATATATATTTAAATTCATTCGTTTATATATTTATTTTCAGAGGGAACACGTTCGAGCACAAGGTTATGATCATATACCAATCGGGAAAACAGTCACTGACGTAAGTTAACCTCACTTCTCTTCTTACTATCTCGATATTTAACGATGTTCTAAAAATTTGGATTTCATAATTAATCATATTACTATAAATGAAAAAATTATTAAGTTATGTACATCTATAACTATTTTCCTTGTATTATGTTATTGTTGAGGAAACCACAAATATGATAAATTAGTTTCCTGTATTGAGCATTTATTAACTGTCATTACGGTAGAGATTGTTACATACCATATGTATTGTTTATAGTTCAGAGGATCCGAAGAAGAAGAAGAGGAAGAGGAGGAAGAAGAAGGCGAAGGAGAAGAAGAAGAGGAATCAGATACCCACGAAGATGAAGAAGAAGAATTAGATGAAATTGATATGGAAGTGAGTTACGCACATCAACAACAAACATCCAGTCCAACAGACACAGTGACGGACCCTGTGTCGATTAGAATGGTCAGCAATCATACTGGTCGTTATACTTAATTAAAGTATTCTGTGGTTAATTCTTAAGAAATGATAGTGAGATATACGTATTAAAAGAAATTAAGGATAAGGCAGAATAAAGAATCGTACCATTCTTTCACATACGAGATAATACGATCCTTCCACATTTCGTATTTCGTTCACGCAGTGATTAAGTATTTTAACAATCCTGTTTTTATAAACAAATGACGTTATAATGAATAATCAGCATTTTTGGGGGATACCGTTTGTTGGGTCAAGAACCCCTTTACAGGCCGAGCGATTTAAATTGCGCATCGGCGAAAAAAGCGTGAATCGGAAAATAAGTATCCCCGATGGAGCGATCTAATTGAATTCATCCGTCGAATGTTAGTTTCACGCGTGGTCAGGTCAGCGCGGAATTAAAGGTAGAATGGTAGAAAATTTCCAACGGTGGTAATAAATTTCGTCGAGCATCGTCCCCTATCGTAATGTCTATATCAGAGCAGATATAAAATTTCTTTCACACCACGAACCGTGACTACGTCGAAAGCGATCGAACGTACAAGGGCTTGCCCCCTTGTCCCTTTCTCTCTGCGGCGGGCGCGCGTTCCGTCTTTCTCTTTGGAGAACGGGGCAAGTCGGTACCCCGCCTCGCTCGTAAAGGGCCGTGGAACCGCATCATGCTCGACCGGGACACTCTCTGTACACTCCGTATACCTACCTATACTAGGTGTAAGTACACGCGAGAATGTATTATATACCTATATACAGCGCCGGCTCTCTCGGCGTTTAACTGAAGTAAAGCCAGGTTGGTGCCCCCGCTAGGGTGAACGAACGGGTACGCTCAGGCAAAAGCGAACCCGTGTGCCTCCTCCACCTCCTCTAGCAACGATCTCTCCATCTCCTCCTCTGGTCGAAGATCTTCGCCTCTGATGTCACACAGGCGCTGGAATTGCAAATTCTTTTTTCGAGAATACGCGGTGCGTCGATCGGATAAAGATCGAACTGCGCGTGACCGATCCCGAAAAATCTTCAATGCGCTCGAGCACCGGTTCCCTCGTGCTGAAACGCGACAGTTCGGGAGGAGTAAATCGTCCCGGGCGATTTCACGCGCGCCCGGTGTCCAACGCGCCGCGCGGCCACCACGTCGACGTTTCCAGCGAACGCAGAAAAACATTTAATAATGGGCAAAGCTAAACGCGAGTAGCAAAGATTTGCAATTTTATTCGAGCAATTGAATCGCTCCAAGGTTAATTTAACTGCACACATCGCGAGCGCTGCCGAGCGGGCGAGCGTTTCCATCTCTCGTGCTTAGTATTGCGCGCATAAATCTCGGGATTTATGAATCGTGAGTTTCGTAGATGGTAATACCCTCCGGATTTATGAATTAATACCGCTCATATTAAACGCATAAATCTTAACATTCAGGTAGATGGAATCGTCTATGGAGATTATCCCGCCGCTTCGCTGATTCTGGTACGGCACATCTCTAAATTGCTGGCTATCCGTCTTTATCGTTCCCAAGTTAGACGGAGAGGGAAACAACGGAAGAAATCGTTTCGTCTAGCCGGTGTCGGTACGGGTTTCACTGCTCTGATACATATTGATCGCGAACGTCCTTTACTGTTCCTCTACGTTAAAATGCAATCACGTAAATTCGTACAAGCAGACGGCGAATCGATTCACCAAAATGATAACGATTTCGTTGCAAAGTAAAAATCTAATCTTCGTCTGCGTCTAGAGTTTATCGATCGATAACGCGTATAGTCAAAATCAACGGTGCCTTATCGGACTCAGCTCGCCGCGAGTATTGCATCTACAGGGCACAGTGCTCGAAACAATTTCGCCATACGTAATCTATTTCGTTGTGCATTAACGTTGACCTGACCCACTGGCCCACATATGCGTTTTAAAAATTCCATACGGCCTTGGTGCCGATACCGTGGCGTACATCCAGTCAAGCTTTTTCTCGAAATTTCATCTAAGAGTCGCACGCCGCGTCGGCGAACTCGTAGGTCGCGCGGGCGTCAACTTAATCGTCGCGCGTTCGACGCAAATACGCAATAAAACGTTTCAACCGTTTGCAACAGTTAATGCTCTCGCCGGTGATTTACTGTTACCGCGGTGGTTGATCGCACGTCAACCGATTTCACCGGCCATACGGGGAGGGGGGAGAAAGAGCGAGCGAGTGAGAGAGAGAGAATGCAGAAGAGTGCTGCCGTAGGGGGTAGACCTCAATGGCTAATGCCGAGTTAAGCACCCTAACCTGCCTCAAAAGACATTACGCGACGTAACAGATAATAAATCCTCTGTTTCAGCGTACCGAGAGATAGCGAGCTCCGAAGAAAATGAGAGTGTCGAGAACGAAGATGGACGAGACTTCTCTTCTCTTTCGACGATTACGAGCCGTTGGGCTCTCTCTTAAGATTTCCTTCTTCGTAGTCGGAACGGGTAAAGTCCCGAGAAAACCGCGTGGAGCGTATGGATGTCATAACGTCAAGCAAAGTATAGCTACCATGGAAGAAACGCGGCGATCAATCGAAAACGCTAAAGCGGGTCTGACAGTGGCGTAATAGACACTCGTCAAGAAAGAAAGCAGCGAAAGTGTTCGAACGTAAAGAGACGTGAAGATCGAGGGAAGATGCGACCGTTTCTAAAGCAATTGACACCGACGGGATTCGATCATTGAATACTGATGGTCACCGATAAGGCGTTCGAAATTATGAAGATCGGAAGGAGAAGACGCTCAGAATCGCGTACACGTATTTATGTACCTTCGAAATGTACCTCCTCGGTGCAACGGGCGCGTTTATCTTTGGAGAATGGAGAAAAGTTAAAAGCCGGTGAGAGAAAGGGAGACGGAAGGAATGGCAGTGATAACGGGGAAGGAACATCGAGAAAGCAGGCGTGACAGAGAGCGGAGTATCAGAGAGTAACGGACGAAGAAGTCTTTCGGAGCGACGAGGAGGGAGCGAAGTGGCAACGGGATGAAGAGAGACGACGCGTCAAAGGCGAAGCGCGTCGGAGGGAGAAGGAAGCAGTCGATCGCGAGCAGGAAGAGCGGCACGAGCGAGAACCGGGGAGTTCGTCGGGAGTACTCGGTCGCTCAGTCGAACGCGCGATTACAAGCACACGAGACGCGTGGGCTCTCTCTCTCTATCAGGCTGAAAGTGTTTCGTACGCGACCACGTGCCGGCTAAACTGCCGGAACGTAACACAGAGAACGATAACACGACGACGACGACGACGACGACGACGACGACGCGAGGCTACTTGAACGCATTCGCAAAGTGGACATCGGGCGCCGGGCACCGTTGATTCCCTGCGATTACGAATAAACGGACCGTTTCATCCCTGCTAGATGCACAGCGAGTGACGGTGAACGTCGTCGTAACGCGGCTTTTACCGGATTCTATCGACGCGGATGGTGTGCATCGTGGTGTGTGGATGGTTTTGTCAGTTGGTGACTCGAAGCCTCGAAGTGAACCGAAAGAGAAAAGCGACTGTGGTTTTTTCTGGTGGCGAACGTGGAGGAACCTCGACGAGTCGGCTGGATCCAGATGTCACGGGCACGTCCTCGATCGGTGAGTGAGAATCATTATCTTTAACGTCACGCTTCCGAGAGGATGAACTCGTAATGCTTCTACTCTTCCTGGACAGTTTCAAATTGCTCAGTGTTGATGCTTTACCGCTGCGAACTCTTAATCTAATAAACGAACGTAGAATGTGAAAAGCAGCGGTCGGTGCGATCGCATCCGCGAACTATGTAAAGGAACTGCAATCCGATCGTTCCGTGTGCCGATGGCGCGAGGAGTAGAATTTTTTCAGCGAAATTAGTGAAATCGAGGCAAGGAAGGGGATCGTTAACCGTATACTTTAAAACGAGCTAGGACACGGGCTCGAAAGTTTCGACCAGTCGTGGAATAAAGTGTCGGTTCACCGGTAGAACGACCGGCGACGAGCCGATATTTTTGCATAAGTTTTCCAGACGTTTCCGCGTGGATCTCGCGTTACCGTTGGTACCATCGAAATGCATTACCATTCGAATTCGACGCTCCAGTATTCTTGGTACATTGTTTACGTTCCTGACAAAACACCTTGGAACGAACAGCCTATTCCTTTACTTGGAACTAAAATAGACGCGCATGATTCCATCAAGTTTAAGTTAAACCTAGCCAATCCAATCAATATTTAACTTTTCCTTCGGATATCTTTCGCATCGCTTATCCTCCACGAATTTAGCCATGCTCGTCTCACAGTCGGATTGTACAATAGTGTGAAATTAAATACAGTGGTATCACCCCAAAGTTAATTGATTGAATCTTAGAACCGTTGACTAAGAAATTTTACACGTGAGTCCATTTTAAGGGAAAATAAAGAATGCAAGGAATATATAAACTGTTTTGTCAAATTTATATTATATTCACTATTGATTGGCATTTTATGTTTTCTTTTCGTGTTCCGCAACCTTTTATTCGACACTACGTCGACCTCCTAAAAGTGGTATGCTTGCTTACAGTATTTGCAAGAATGTAATCAACATGTGAACTTGCATCATAACGCATCGTAATCGTACATCGTCTTTTTATCCAGAACACTCGGCTTTTGTAATTTCTCATGCTCAGTCGATCGGTTTTGTTCGACTTGAAATAGTTTTTGCCAGGTTTCTATTAAAAATTTTGAAAGCCGCGAAGCACCGCGATTGTTAATTACACCGGAACGAAAAAGAGGCTTTGGGTAGAGGGAGAAAGTGCCGACGAAATTAAGAACGTTGCGCGGTCGTTGGTTACAGAAAGTTAGCGTAAAACGAGTAAGCGTTATGACTATGTAGCGTCAAGTCGAACGTATTTATAACGAATCGCGGAAATCATAATTCCGCGGGGACGTAAAGACTCGGCTGCGAATTACAGAGAAAGTTCATCGTGTAATGGTGTACACAACCTCGTTCTTGTGCGCGTCCGTGATGGTAAAAAAAGTAAAAATTCTCGTTCGATGAAAAGTGAAATTAATGTAATCGTTCGTTCGATCAAATTGGTTTTACGATTCTGGATCAGTCGTAAAGATTTTCCCATTTTGCGATCGGTGCAGAATTTTTTGTATTCCGTTCGTCTCGTCGATCTCACATTCTCGAATCTTATGCGTACGGTTTACCGTACACGCATTAGTTCCAAAGAGAGGGAACGGATGAGCATTAAAACTGTGTCTAGGCAACGATTCTAGGTTTGCGTTGAACGTAAAAATGGTGGGGAACGAAACACTTGGGAAACGAGGAGAGGATTTTTCCAGGTTGCTGGTTAAAAGGTAGCGCGATCACAGGGACGATTATTGAGCATTGTTGGGTCCAGGTTGCGATAGAACGAGCGAGTGGGTAATGCTGTACTGTTTGTGCCGGCCCTGCGGGGTCTCTGACCGCCCGTCCGCGCCTCTCAACTCGACTTGCTTGTCCATGCTCTGTGCGGCCTACCTACGGCTCATGACTAAAGTCACGTCTCTCTTAGGTCTCTCCCGCGAGAGAGACTCTCTTGGACGAATTTCACGAAAAGCAGACTTCTCGCCGCGACAAAAGAGGGAAACGAGTGGAGGAGCGCGCGAGTTGCCGACAACGGCAACTAGCCACGTTTCTTTCCGCCTTTCTTCCCCTATGGATCCACGTACTCTTTTATACATACGCGTTTTACGATCGGCTGACGCAGCTTCCGACCGTTCTACCGATCGGTTCGTAAACTTCTTCTCGTACCGATGGGTCCTTGGCGATAGACGGGCTTTCGGTGTTTTTAGAACACGGTCAGCATCGTCACGAACGCCGAGATTGCGGTTTTTACAGGTCGTACGTAATAAAAGAACGGGAACACGTTACCCCTTTCCCTATGGATACATTTTGAAAAATTGCGCAAGCGTTAACGAGCTCCTGCAATCGAAGCTATCGTATGCTATCCGCGGTTTTAGAAAGCAACGTACTCATCGCTGCTTGCGCACGGGTTCCTTCGAGGATTATCGGCATACCAGCGTTTTGATAATAATTATTGTCGGGGATTAATAGACTACAATGGTTCTGTTTTTTCCTTCGCGCTTATGCAACGTCGTTACACCTCCTTTCGCTACATGCTTTCTAGACACAACGTTGCACGATTTTTCAACGAGACAAGAATCGACGAAAGGCGTCGTTCTTGCCGCAAAATTCCATGAATCTTGATAAGATATGGTTAAACGAGAGGGAACCATTATGCCTTGTTTGAAGACAGCGCGAAAAGTAAAACCGTCCGCGTTACATAACAGATTTGTTCTGCTGAATTCTGAGCATCTCCTTATCTGATGCAATTGAAAATTAAGTTCGTAACAAACTTTCGTGAACTTTCCTTTCGACTTTACGATACTCAAATCCGTTCTTCCTCTTCGCCTCGCGAGACGTTATGCGTCGCATACACACGTATGTGAAGTACTTGGCCAGATTTTTCACCGACACCGGCCCGTCGTCTTACAAGCGCGACGTGTCGCGATTTTCCTTTACGTTTTCCTCACTTCGTAAACAATTCTCGCAGCCGATACACGCGCGCACGATCATCGATTATTGGAACTTGGGCCGACCATATTGCGGACCATTCTACTCGTTCGATTACTCGCGTCGCCTACTACTGCACGATCTGTACTTATACCATCGCTTCGAACGCACGTTATACGTATAAACCGAGCGTGGGTGTAGCACGTGGGTGCGCTTTTTCGAATCCGGTGCTAAACGATCGAACGACAATGAGACTGAAAAATGCTCCTCCGTAATTAGACTATTGTTTGGTGGAGGAAAGTGTGCAGGACTCGTAATGCAGGAGTACGTCGATGGGACTTGGTCGAACCAAGATATTCTCGGAATCCCTGCTTTATAGATATGGAAGAAAATATGAAGTCGTTTAAGACGCATCGTCATTAGACACGGATATAGGGTAGCAGCGTCAACGACTGGGATGAATTTTTCATGCAGACATAAGCGCGACATGCCGTTGGAATTTCAAGTAACTGCCCGTCACGCGACGCACGCGGAACGTATGAATTTTTAACTCGCCGATGTTTGTCCGTTCGCGACCGATCGTTCCTACGATAATTCCAGGAGGGAGAAGTCGAGTGTACTTTTGATATAAGAAAACCAGCGCGACTCGGGATGATATCGACGGATCTAACTCCTCGATCGGTCGTTCCTGTGAGAAGAGTTACACGGCGATCGAAAAGCAGGCAAGATTTTCTGGACACCCGGTATTTTGCGGTGTAACGCGCGTACATGCACCGCGTTGCGGCCTGTGTACGTGAACGAACGCATACAACCGCGATGCCAGTGAACCGAGCATTATAGTACCCTGCAAGAAACGTCGGCCTGGTGCATTGACCGCGGTTGACCACACGTCATCGAATGAGTGACGTCACGGGGTTCGCGGCATGAAAGCTACGTCACGGTCGGTTGCATCCTCGAAGATGCGTCCGCGAAAATGTTGCTCCTATTCCTCGTTTAGAACACCCGTGGAAGAAACTGATCGTCGTGTCCAGCGACGCACCTCCGGCGACGAGTCTCTTGTACCAGTGAAAAGCGTACTTCCCGCGCGTACGAATAACCGGACACGGTTTCTCGGGTTAATGCGTGTACCGCGTTAAATTATTCGTGCGAGCGTCGAACTCGATTATCGGGAAAGAGCGAACGTGTTACCCGGCGTATTCTCTGATTATCATACGCGAAACCTAGTCCGGAACGGTTTATCTCAAACAGAAACGGTCGAAACGGATGACTTATTGCGCCGGCGGCTGGTTAAATCATTTTTTCCACCGCGTGTAACTTTCAATTCATCACGGTCGACCGCGGGCTATACGGTACGCGCATGAATAGTTAACGAACGGGCGTAGGAGGACCAAGATTTTCCTCCTCGGACGACTATGCTCACGATGTACCTGCGAATATAATAGCACGGTTATACATAGAGCCGTATGGCCATACCTTTCTGTGGCGTATGTAAGTGCGGGCGAGTTCGTTCCCTCGAACGAGTAAATCAAGTCCGCGGAGCGGCTCTATGCCTTGAGCTCGTAAGACTGGCCAAGAATGGTTCGACATTTTTCCGAGTACGCCCCTGATCCATTCTTGCCGCGCATCCACTGCTATTCATCCTGATATTACCGGTAGCATTCTTTCCGAACGATCCCCGGACCCCGGCTCGATCTCTCAGCGACCGCGGCGAAAACTCGTAAACTCGTCGGTATTTTCTAATTACTGGATCGAGAAAAAAAAAACAATTTATCGCTTCATACTCGCCGCGGAGATAACTTTCTATAGAGGTAAACGATTTTACAGTTGAAATATTTGAGCTACCTCGGTGAGCTTCAGCGGACGAGCGCATTTTGATTTTCCTATTTTCTCTTATTTTTTCCTATTTTCCCCGCGTTGCACTTATTTCACCGTCGTTGCTCAATGGGGAAAACGTCAAGTTTCTGTCGTGCTCCTTTTCTCTTGGTGCGCGTTATGAGTTTGAAGCACCGGGTTCGAACGCCCGTATCGATACGGGGGACCATTTAAGCGACTGCATCGAGCAGCGTGTGTAAGGAGGCAGCCGAG